TTAATAGTAATATAAATAAACTAAAATTAAGTTTTTAGACTCATAATCTAAATATAGATATATTCTTTTATATAAGTAATATGTCTGACTAAAGAAATATTTTGATGAAATATACATGAAAATTATTTTTCTATTACTAATTATATTTATTAATTTAATTAATACCTTAAAATTCAAAATTTTATATGCAAAACACTTAAATATAATTTAAATAAAAAAATCAATAAATTAAATTTATAATAAATAGTAATTATAAATACTATTACATAACAAAATATTTGAGTTAATATTAACTATCATTATTACAATTATCAGCCTAATTGCCATAACTACAAGAAATCAATTTATTCTATGAATATTAATAGAATTTAATAGAATATCATTCATTACTTTATTAAATATTACTAACAATAAAAATATTAGTATAATATACTTTACAATATCAATATACTCATCAGCTTTAATAATTATAACAACATTAAACATAACCAATAATAATAATAATAATATATATTATATTTTAATTCTAGCAATTTGAATTAAACTAGGATTATTCCCATGCCATTTATGATTTAATTTAGTTTCAAGTAAAATAAATTACCAATCTTTATTTATCTTAATAACTTTAATAAAAATTATTCCTTTACAAATTATAATTACATCAATCAAAATAAACAAGATAATTATTTATATATTATTAATTGCAATAATCATACCTTCACTAATAGCTATTAAACAAAAATCATTTAAATTAATATTATCATACTCATCTATATACCAAACCGCATTTATAATTATACTAATATTTTTCAACTTAGATACAGGTATAATATACTTTACAATATACTTAATTTCATCATGATTATTAATCAATTTTTTATATAAACATAAAATCTATTATATAAATCAACTTTTAAACCTTACAATAAAATCCACAAAAACAATCTATAATTTAAACATAATTATTTATAGACAACTACCCCCTCTATTCACTTTTACAACTAAATGAATATTTCTAGAAAATATAATTCAATGAAATGAAATTATACTATTAATAAATATAATCTTAATTATCTCCTCTTTAATCATAATTTTTAATTATATTAATATTGGACATTTAAATCTATACAATTACTATAATAATATCTCGCATCAAAATAATTGTCCTAAACAATCAAACTGACTAACTTGATTAATCTACAGAATAATATTCTTTTCTATATTATTATATGCCATAATTATTTAATTTCAATAAAAAATTTAATTAATAAATTAATAAATAAAACTATATTCTCAAAATATAATTCAATTCATTTAAGTTATAAAAAACAATTAATCTTACAATAGTTTTTATTTAAATTAATTGATTAATAGTAGAAATTTAAAATATTCATTCATTATACAATTATTTAATTTTAGGCTATTAAGCATAATTAGACTTGCAATCCAATATTTTTATTTAAATTACAAAAATAATATTAGAAAATAATTTTCATTTATAAATTTACAGTTTATACCTTTAATTCAGGCATAATATTTAAAGACCTTAAGTTAAAAAAACTATAAACCTTCAAAGTTTAACTTATATACTCAATATATGTCTTAATAAAATACAATTATAAAATTTGACTATACTCTACTAATCATAAAAATATTGGAATATTATATTTCATTTTCGCAATATGAGCAGGAATAATTGGATCATCAATAAGAATAATTATCCGAATACAATTAAGAGCACCAGGAAACTGATTAAATAATGATCAAATCTACAACTCAATTGTAACCTCACACGCATTCGTAATAATCTTTTTTATAGTAATACCTTTCATAATTGGAGGATTTGGAAACTGACTAGTACCTTTAATAATTGGAGCTCCTGATATAGCATTCCCTCGAATAAATAACATAAGATTCTGATTACTATTACCCTCAATATTTTTATTATTACTTAGAAGAATTATAAATTCAGGATCAGGAACAGGATGAACAGTATACCCACCTTTATCTTCATTAATATATCATCCCTCTAATTCTGTAGATATAACAATTTTCTCACTACATATTGCAGGAATTTCATCAATTATAGGTGCAATTAACTTTATTATTTCAATTAACATAATAAAAAATAATTCAATAAATCACGATCAAATAAGATTATTTCCATGATCTGTTATAATTACAGCTATTTTATTATTATTATCACTACCTGTATTAGCAGGAGCAATTACTATATTATTAACAGATCGGAACATAAATACTTCCTTTTTTGACCCAACAGGAGGAGGAGATCCGATTCTATATCAACATCTATTTTGATTTTTTGGTCATCCAGAAGTATACATTCTAATCCTACCTGGTTTCGGCCTAATTTCACACATTATTTTCAATGAAAGAGGTAAAAAAGAAACATTCGGAAATCTAAGAATGATTTATGCAATATTAGGAATTGGATTTTTAGGTTTCATTGTCTGAGCTCATCACATATTTACAATTGGATTAAATGTTGATACCCGTGCTTATTTTACTTCCGCAACTATAATTATTGCCGTCCCTACAGGAATTAAAATTTTTAGTTGATTAGCAACATATTATGGAATTAAAATTAAACAATCACCTTCTATAAAATGATCTATAGGATTTATCTTTTTATTTACTATAGGAGGATTAACAGGTATTATATTATCTAACTCCTCCATTGATATTATATTACACGATACTTATTATGTAGTAGGACACTTCCATTATGTTCTATCTATAGGAGCTGTATTTGCTATTATTGCCAGATTAGTCCACTGATACCCTTTATTCACAGGATTAACACTAAATAAAAATATACTTAACATTCAATTTTATTTTATATTTATCGGAGTAAACCTAACATTCTTTCCCCAACACTTTCTAGGATTAATAGGAATACCTCGACGTTATTCTGATTACCCAGATGCTTACTACTGCTGAAATACTTTATCTACCTTAGGTTCAATAATAACATTCAATAGATTAATTATATTAATTTTCATTATATTAGAAAGTTTAATCAAAAAACGATTCATCCTCTTCAAATACTATCAATCATCTTTAGAATGAACACAAACATACCCTCCACTTAATCATTCATTTAACGAATTACCTATTATCAACAAAAATTAATTTAATATGGCAGAATAGTGCAATAGATTTAAGATCTATTTAAAAAATTAATTAATTTTTATTAAAAATAGCAACATGATCAATATATAACTTTCAAGACTCTAACTCCCCATTTACAGATAATTTAAATAACTTTTACAATCTTACAATAACCATTATAATCATTGTCCTAGCTTCTACTTTATATATAATAACAGACATTATATTTAATAAATATACTAATCTAAATTTATTAAAACATCATAACCTAGAAATCATCTGAACTGTAATACCAATATTCATATTAATAATTATTGCAATTCCATCTCTCAAAACTCTATATTTTATCGACGAACTATGAAACCCTACATTCTTCACCATTAAATCAATTGGACATCAATGATACTGAACATATGAATATACAGATTTCTTACATATCCAATTCGATTCTTACATAAATAATTCAATTAACCTAAATTCATTTCGTTTATTAGACGTAGATAATCGAATAGTCCTTCCATATAAAACACCTATCCGAATACTAACCACTTCTGCCGACGTTATTCATTCTTGAACCATCCCATCTATTGGAGTAAAAATAGATTCAATCCCAGGACGAATTAATCAAATATCTTTAATTTCCTCACGACCTGGTTTATATTTTGGTCAATGCTCTGAAATCTGTGGAACTAATCATAGATTCATACCTATCGTAATAGAAAGAACAAATGTAAAAAACTTTATATACTGAATTACATCAATATAAAGAATTAGTTAAAAAATAACATTAAATTGTCAATTTAAAATTATTAAATAAATATTTTTTCATTAGGTGTCTGAAAGTAAGAAATGGTCTCTTAAACCAATAAATAGTAATTAACAAATACTCCTAATGATAATTCTTTTATTCCACAAATAATACCTATATCATGATTATTAATTATAATAATAACATGTTTAATAAACATTGCAATATTAACAACAATCTACTTCAATAAACAATATAAATTAAAACATAATATTCAAACTAAAACCATTAACTGAAAATGAAAATGATAGTAAATCTATTTTCCATTTTTGATCCATCTACCAGTATATGTTTATCATTAAATTGACTATCAATAATAATCATACTACTAATCAACCCAATATCCTTATGATTATTACCTTCTCGACTACATATATCATTTAACTTATTAATAATGTTCATTTTTAATGAATTTAACTTAATTGTAAATAACAAATTTAATACAAACTTATTAATTTTCATTATACTAATATTATCAATCATAACTATAAATCTAATAGGATTAATACCTTACATCTTCACTCCTACAAGTCACCTTGTAGTCAACTTAACTATATCTTTAATTCTATGAGTAAGATTTATAATATATGGATGATTAGTAAATACCAACCATATACTTATTCATATAGTTCCAATAAATACACCTACTATATTAATAAGATTTATAGTATTAATTGAATCAATTAGAAATTTAATTCGACCCTGAACACTAACAATTCGTCTTAGAGCAAATATACTAGCAGGTCATTTAATAATAACCTTAATAGGATCTTCAATAAATAAATTCCTATTATTTTTACCTTTAATAATTATAATACAAAATATATTAATTATTTTAGAAATATCTGTATCCTTAATTCAAGCATATGTACTATCAATCCTAAGAACATTATATTTTAATGAATCTAATAACTATGATAATAACTAACCACCCATTTCATTTAGTAACTTTAAGACCATGACCTATAATTACATCATTTAATATCATAAATACATTAATGAGAATCATCATCCTATTCTACAATCATTACTCTTATACACTTATTATAAATTCAATTCTACTAATTATATCAATATTACAATGATGACGAGATGTAATTCGAGAAAGAACTATACAAGGATTTCATACACTTACAGTATCAAAATTAATAAAATACAGAATAATTTTATTTATTATTTCAGAATTATTTTTCTTTATCTCATTTTTCTGAGCATATTTTCACAGATCAATTTCCCCTAATGTAGAAATTGGAAGAACATGACCTCCCTCAAATATCATAATATTCAACCCTTTTGATATTCCATTACTAAATACTATTATCTTAATTTCTTCAGGAATAACAATCACATGAAGTCATCATCTATTATTAAATAATCATACAAAATCATTAAATCTAATATTAATTACAATCATTCTAGGAGTGTGCTTCTCCTCATTACAATATTTAGAATACAAAGAAGCACTTTTTACAATCAATGACAGAATCTTTGGATCAATTTTCTTCATAATGACAGGATTTCACGGATTACACGTAATTATTGGTATCTTATTTATATTAACATGCTATCTACGTATATTAAAACTACAATTATCAAAAACCCATCATTTCAATTTTGAAGCAGCATCATGATATTGACATTTTGTAGACATCGTATGATTATTTCTTTATGTATTTTTATATTGATGATCTAGATAATATATATAATATATAATATATATATATAGTATAATTAATTACATTTAACTTCCAATTAAAAAATTTAAACATTAATATATATAATAATAAACATTTTAATTATTAGAATTCTAATATCCTTAATACCAATTATTATTATTATAATCAACTTAATATTAACACAAATAATAAAAAAAAATCGTGAAAAAATAACTCCATTTGAATGTGGGTTTGATCCTTTTTCATCAGCACGTTTACCTTTTTCTATCCAATTTTTCATAATCACTTTAATATTTCTAATCTTTGATATTGAAATTATCCTAATTATTCCAATAGTTCCCGTATTATACAATATAAATTCAATAACTATAATAATACTAATATCTTTTATTTTAATTTTACTGCTAAGTCTATGAATAGAATGATTTATAAATATATTAAAATGAATTAACTAAATGGATATTAGTTAAATAATAATAATTAAATTGCATTTAATAGTTAATCAAAATTATATTATATCTAAGTATTTAAAGTAATATTATTACATTTAACTTCGAATTAAAAATAGATTAATCAATCTTTATACTCAATTAATTGAAACCAAAATAGAGGTAAATTATTGTTAATAATTTCACTGCCTTAAAGCCAATTAAAGAAATTAATTAAATAGAACTTCTAATTCTAATAAAACAAAAATTTGTTAAATTTCTATTTATATAGTTTAAAAAAAACCTTATATTTTCAATATAAAATTAATTAAAATTTATAAATATTTAAAAATTAAAAATTACCTTAATATTTTCAATATTATACTCTAAATTTAAGCTATTTAAATACATAAAAACAAAAAATACTAATATAAATAAATAAATATTAAAAATAAATAAATTACTATAATTAAAAACCTTAGTTCAACCATTATATATTAAAAATATTTTATTCAATAAAAATATATGAATAAAACTAAGTCCTGTAACTACTTCTCAACAACATTCAAACCCAGATTCATAAATATAAATAAAATCAAAAAAAATTTTAGGGACCTTAAATACAAAATTTAAATAAAATATTCTTCTAAAAAACATACCAATTAAAACTATATCTGTTAAATCCAAAATAAAAATAAGATAATAAAAATAAAATCCCAACAAGTATAAATTTAAAAATATAAGCTTATCCGAACCTAATATCATATATACAAAACCATTAAATAAAAGCAATAGACAATAATTACCTAAAAAAATTAAAATAAAATATAAAAACAATTTTCTAAAAAATATAATCATATCATCACCAAAATTAAACAAACTAATAAATATTTTATAAAAAAGTAAAATCCAATAAATTAAACGAATTCTATATCTAATAGTAAAAACCGTAGAAAAAAATAATAAAATCAAAGAAACAATATTAAATTTTATAGAAAAAAAAGATTCTAAAATTAAATCCTTAGAATAAAATCCCGATACAAAAGGAAATCCACATAAATTTATAATAGCAAAAATAAAAAATAAACTCTTTAATAAACTCATATAAAATATACCTCCAAATACCCGTATATCCTGATTATTAAAATTTATGTGAATAAACTCACCAGCACATATAAATATTATAGATTTAAAAAAAGCATGAACAATTAAATGAAAAAATCCTAACTCAACATATCCTATACTTAAAATTCTTATTATAAATCCTAATTGTCTTAAAGTAGACAAAGCAATAACTTTCTTAAAATTTATTTCAAAATTAGCAATTAAACCTGACATAAACATAGTAAATCTAGATAATAACAAAACATAATGTAAAAATATAGAATTATTAAATAAATTATTATAACGAATAAATAAATATACTCCAGCAGTCACTAAAGTTGAAGAATGAACTAATGAAGAAACAGGAGTAGGAGCTGTTATAGCAGCAGGTAATCAAGAAGAAAAAGGAACTTGTGCACTTTTAGTAAATATAGCTAACATTATAAAAAATAATATCAACTTATCACAAGAATAAATCATTAAATTTCAACTACCAAAAGAAGAACAAAAAATAATTAACATTAACAATCCAATATCCCCTAATCGATTACATAAAATAGTTAATATTCCTGAATTAAAAGCATTTAAATTCTGATAATAAATAACTAATAAATAAGAAATTAAACCCAAACCATCTCACCCTAATAAAATACTCATAATATTAGGACTTATAATTATTATACACATAGATAAAATAAATAACAAAACCAAATAAATAAAACGCTTAATATATAAATCATCTATCATATAACTCAATCTATAAAGTATTACTATTGAAGAAATAAATAAAACAGTAAATAAAAACAATAAACTTATATAATCCACATGCAATAAATATACATAACTTATAGAATTATATATATATAACTCCCAACCAATTAAAAAAACTTTATTTAAAATAAAACAATAAATACCTATTAAAAATATAACTAACCTTGATAATAATAATAAATAAAAATTAACTAACAATAAATAAATAATTCAAGACTAAAAAGTATTTATGATTCCACAAATCAATGTTTTAAATTAAACTACCTAAATTTAGAGATAATTCATATTAATAAATAATAAATTTAAAGGTAATCAATGTATAAGTAATACAATAAAATCCATATAAGTAATATATCCAACTTTAAGATAATAATTAGCCTTACCATGTTGAACATAACAATATAAATATAAAGAATAAACAAATCCAAAAAAACAAATAAAAACAACATAAATATATAGATAATACAATCAGCTTACTAATCCTGTAAATAAAAACAATTCACTAACCAAATTTAAAGAAACAGGAGCAGACATATTAGAAGAACAAAACATAAATCAAATCAATGATAAAGAAGGAAAAAAAGTTATTATTCCTTTATTAACAAATATTAAACGTCTATTAGTTTCCTTATAACAAAGATTAACTAAATAAAATAAACCAGAAGAACAAAATCCATGACCAATTATAGTAATAAACATACCTCTAGTACCTATACCAACTAACGTATACATACCACAAACTATTACTCCTATATGCACTACAGATGAATAAGCTACTAAAAGCTTCATATCAACTTGACGTAAACAAACTAGACTTAAAAATATCCTACCAACTATACTAATAGACACAAAATAAAATCTAGACTGAACTAAATTATCATAAAAAATTAAATTTAACCGTAATAACCCATACCCTCCTAATTTCAATAAAATAGAAGCTAAAATTATAGAACCAAATACAGGAGCCTCAACATGAGCTTTTAATAACCAACCATGTATTAAATATAAAGGAATTTTTACAAAAAAAGATCTTATAGTATATAAATACACCCAAAAATTAATATAACATATATAATCTCCCATCAAAAATATATCTCTTGTAAACGTAAAATTAAATAAATAAAAAAAAAATATTAACAAAGGTAAAGAAAAAAATAAAGTATAAAACATAAGATAATATCCAGCCAATATACGTATCCCTCCTATCCCCCACTTTACAATAATTAAAAAAACCATTAAAAGACTAGCTTCAAACATAAAATAAAAAAATAATAAATTTATAGAAAAAAATAATATAAATAAAATAACTATTAAACCCAATAAAATACCATTACATAAACTTAAATCACTCAAATCCTCCAAAGAAAAAAAAACCATACTTAAAATTCATAATCTCAACATAACTAATCTAAATGAATACTGATCTATACAAAATAATAAACTCAAATTATATGAATCAATAAATAAATCAAATTCAAAACCCATAAATAACACAATCAAAAATAAAACAACTCCCATAAAATTACTATCCTTAATGTAATAATATAATAAAAATAAACTAAATAAAATACAAATAAATAATATCATATCTATAATATATAAATTAAATACCTACCATTTTATATTTAATAATCTAATACCTTGATCACCAAATATATAAACTATCCTGACCATTAATGCAATACCTAATACACTTTCACAAACTGCTATAACCAAAAAAACTATAAATAATCAATCATTGCCTAATATTAAATTAAAAATCAACAATAAAATACTCAAAACTAAAAACTCTAGACTAATTAAAACTATTAAAAAATAATTATTAAAAATAAATAACATTAATAAAGAAAAAACAAACATAACAAAAAAATAATTCATAAACAAATAATATTAGATATATAGTTTAATTTAAAACCCTAATTTTGTAAATTAGTAATAGAAAATTTCTTATATCAATTCTAACACTATCAAAAAAAATACACTTATCTTTAATCTCCAAAATTAAGGTTTTGAATTAAACTATTTTTTGTACAATGATAACATCAAATATTAAAACAATTACAGTAATAATTATAATATTAATAATAATATACGCAATCATGAACAACAAATTACACCCATTAAATTATATAATTATATTAATCTTATTCACTATATTAACTTCTTTTATATCTTATACATCATTAAAAAAATCAATATATATATATATAATATTTATTTCAATAATTAGAGGAATAATAATTATATTTATATATTTCACTAGCACGATCAACAACTTTAAATTCAAAACATCATCAAAAATAATTATAATTATAATAACCATTATAACATATACAACTATTATAATTCCAATTATATTAATAACAATAAATAATCAACCAAACATAATCATACACACTTCAATACAATCCATCTATAATACCCCTTATATATCAATAACAATCATAAACATCATAAATCTAATCTATTGTCTATTTATAGTAATTAAAATAAGTAAACAACTTAAAGTACCTTTACGAAAAATTATAAAATAATGACTATAACAAAATTCCAATCTATAATAAATAAAATACCCTTAATAAAAATTATAAATTCATCCTTAATTAATCTACCTACTCCTTCAAGTATTAACTTATGATGAAATTTTGGATCAATTATAGGAATAATACTATCTATCCAAATTATCTCTGGGCTATTCCTAACTATACATTACTGTCCTAACATTAATAATGCATTCATAAGAATTATTCATATTATAAAAAATGTTAATATAGGATGAATAATACGAATAATTCATATAAATGGAGCATCAATATACTTCATTTGTATGTACATACACATTGGACGAAACTTATATTACCAATCCTATAAACTCATACAAGTTTGAACAATTGGAGTAATTATCTTCATATTATCAATAGCTACCGCTTTCTTAGGCTATGTTTTACCATGAGGTCAAATATCTTTTTGAGGAGCCACAGTAATTACAAATTTACTTTCTGCATTACCTTACATCGGACCTAGTCTAGTTAACTGATTATGAGGAGGCTTTTCAATTAATAATGCAACATTAAATCGATTCTATACTTTCCATTTTATTTTACCTTTTATTATTTTATTAATAGTAATTTTACATTTATTCTTTCTACACTTATCAGGATCTAACAATCCATCAGGATTAAATAGAAATATAAACAAATTAAATTTTCACCCATACTTCTCAACAAAAGATATCATAGGATTTTTTATAATTATAATAATATTATTAACCTTAATCTCAATAAACCCATTTATATTAGGAGATCCTGATAATTTCATTATAGCTAATCCTATAGTAACTCCTGAACACATTAAACCAGAATGATACTTCTTATTTGCATATACAATTCTACGAATCATTCCAAATAAATTAGGAGGAGTAATAGGATTAATAATATCAATTATAATCCTTCTTATTATACCATTTTTAAATAATCACTTAATCAAAACCAGTAAATTTTACCCGTTAAACCAAATTATATTCTGAATATTAACAAGAACATTCATCATATTAACATGACTAGGAAGACAATTAATTGAATATCCATTCACAAACTTAAGAATTTATTTTACATGCCTATATTTCATATTCTTTATTTTAACTCCTCATCTAAATATATATTGAGATAAAATCTTATTCACTCAATAAAGCTAATGAGCTTGACCCCCTTAAGCTTATATTTTGAAAATATACCATAGAATTAATTATTCTATTAGCTTATGTTAAAAATTTTAATAAACTAAAAACAACTAAATATATTAAAGTAATAGATAAAAATTTTTTCCAACATAATATCATTAGTTCATCGTATCGAATTCGGGGGAGTACTCCCCGAATTCAAATAATAAAAATTACATGAAAAATAAATAAAATTATAAATATAAAACTATAAATATTTCTATAAATAAATATAAAAGTTATTAAAAATCTAGTAAAAATAATGTTAGCATATTCTGCTATAAAAATTAAAGCAAATCTTCTTCTAAAATATTCAGTATTAAATCCTGAAACTAACTCAGACTCTCCTTCTACTAAATCAAAAGGAGTTCGATTCAACTCTATTAATATCCTAACAAAAAATATTAAATATATAGGAAATATAAAAATAAAAAATTTCCCTCTATGCTGATACTTTATAAATCTTACTAAAGAATATCTTTCAATTAACATTATTAAAACAAAAATTATTAAAAATAATCTAACTTCATAAGAAATAGATTGAGCAATAAGACGAACTGAACCTAATATTGAATAATTAGAATTAGAAGATCAACCCCCTAAAATAATAGGATACACTCCTACCCCTAACAAACTTAATAATAATAAAATCCCTAATTCCATTGTATATAAATTAATATAAAACGGTAATAATATTCATAATATTAAAGATAATAATAAAATTATTATAGATATTAAATAATAATAATTAGATCTTACTTTTTCAACACTAAATATTTCTTTATTTAAAAGCTTAATAACATCACTAAAAGGCTGAAGATACCCTATCAACCCCAATTTATTAGGTCCTTTACGATCTTGTATATAACCTAAAATTTTACGTTCTAATAATGTTAAAAAAGCCACTGATAGTATAACTATAATTAATAAAATAACAATAAAAATAATATTAAATTCAATTATTATTTATAGATAACTATATTATTAAATTCTAAATTTAATGCACTAATCTGCCAAAATAATATTATATAAATTAACCTTCTAAATAAATATTATAAATAATTAGTCCTTTCGTACAAAATTATATTAATTTGAATAAAGATAGAAACCAATCTGGCTCACGCCGATCTGAACTCAAATCATGTAAGAAATTAAAAGTCGAACAGACTTAAAATATTAAATATCTACATTTAACTTTTATCTTAATTCAACATCGAGGTCGCAATCATTTTTTTAGATAAGATCTCTTTAAAAATATTACGCTGTTATCCCTAAGGTAATTTTTTCTATTAATTTTTAATAAAATATCCTTTTAATTTCAATAATTATTGTTCAATTTAATTAAAGTTAATTAAATTTAATTATCCTCCCAATCAAATAAAATTATTAAATTATTTTATTTAATACTTAATTTAATTTAATAATAAATATAAAATTCTATAGGGTCTTCTCGTCCCTTATTAATATTTAAGCATTTTTACTTAAAATTAAAATTAAATGTTTTAAATAGAGACAGAATATATTTCATTAACCCTTTCATTCAAGACTTCAATAAAAAGCCAATTGATTATGCTACCTTTGTACAGTCAAAATACTGCAGCTATTTAATTTTCATGGAGCAGGGCAGACTTTAAATTAATATCAAAAAGACATGTTTTTGTTAAACAGGTGAATATATTTATTTTGCCGAATTCCTTTAATTAAAAACCCAATTATCTATTAATTAACTTAAAAATTTACTTATTTAATCATTATAATTCATTATATTAAATTAATATTAACTTTTTTATAAAAATAATATGAACAATTAAATTTTTAGTTTATAAATATAAATTATTAAATATTTTCTATATAAACAAATATTATGAATACTATTATATAATTATATTATAATACATTATTATAACAATATATAGATTATCCCATATATTGTTTATAATTAAAAATTAAATTATAATTAAACTAATATTAATTTCTAATTATTTGAATTAAATTCATTTCTAAAAAAACTAGATATCTAAAAATTTGAATTACTTATAATACCTAATTATACATTTATAATTATTATAAAACATAAATAAATATATATAATTAGCTCCTTAATATTCGAGATTTATAAATTTATATACATATATTAATCAACCCTGATACAAAAGGTACAAAATAAATTTTTATTTAAAAAATTTAAATTAATTCTTTAACAATTCTTATTTACTTAAAATTTATTTAAATATTAATAAAACAAACAAAAATAATAAAACTTTAATTATATTAATTTATAAACATTCATTTTATAATCAATCTTAATATTCATAAAACTTCAATATTAATTATCGATCCTTTCCATGTAAAAGAAATATTTTACTTAAACTAAAATTCTTAAAAAAGAACACTTTCCAGTACTCTTACTATGTTACGACTTCTTTCAAATAAATTGAAAATGACGGGCAATTTGTACACTCAATTATATTTTCTATATAAATAATTATTTATATTTACTATTAAATCCTATTTCATATTAATTTTAAAACTAATAATCCATAAATTAAATTTATTGTAACCCATATTACCTTTATTATAACTATATTTTGATTTGAATTGTTATATATTTATACATATATATAATAAAAATAACATATTAATAAAATCTGAAAACAACAATACATAAGTAAAAATAAAGTATATCTTAACGTGGAATATCAATTAAAATACAGGTTCCTCTAATATATAAACCAAGCCGCCATATTATTTAATTTTAATGATTTACATTTAATTATTAAATTTATTATTCATTTTTATAGTAGGGTATCTAATCCTAGTTTATTTAAAAATCTACAATTTACAATTATATAAAAACCAATTAAAAATAGACTAAAATTTCACTTAATAGCTAATTCTGTAATCAGTTAATTGAAATCAGTATAATTTAGTTTGTGGAAATTAACTCATAAATTAAGTCTAACCGCTGGTGCTGGCACAAAATTACCCTTTATTTAATTTAATATCTAAATAAAACCTGAGTTCATATTTAAAGCTTACTATTAAATATAGAACTTGGGGCCCCTGGCCTCCAAAATATCCCAAAAAGTAATATATGGTTATTTAAAGTAATTAATTTTTAATCCTTAATTAAAACTTTTTTAATTTAAAAAATCCATCCACATTATTCATAATATATCATAAATTAATTACTTTAAATAACCATATATTACTTTTTGGGATATTTTGGAGGCCAGGGGCCCCAAGTTCTATATTTAATAGTAAGCTTTAAATATGAACTCAGGTTTTATTTAGATATTAAATTAAATAAAGGGTAATTTTGTGCCAGCACCAGCGGTTAGACTTAATTTATGAGTTAATTTCCACAAACTAAATTATACTGATTTCAATTAACTGATTACAGAATTAGCTATTAAGTGAAATTTTAGTCTATTTTTAATTGGTTTTTATATAATTGTAAATTGTAGATTTTTAAATAAACTAGGATTAGATACCCTACTATAAAAATGAATAATAAATTCAAAACCTAGTCAAACAACAGAACTATTGGAATCTCAAGGCTTAAATTCAGTCAAAGAGTATAACACTAATCCTCGGCAAAATCCACTAGAATTTTAAATTTCGAGCTAAAAAATCTAAAAATCAAACCAAATAACAGAAATTCAAAACCTAGTCAAACAACAGAACTATTGGAATCTCAAGGCTTAAATTCAGTCAAAGAGTATAACACTAATCCTCGGCAAAATCCACTAGAATTTTAAATTTCGAGCTAAAAAATCTAAAAATCAAACCAAATAACAGAAATTCAAAACCTAGTCAAACAACAGAACTATTGGAATCTCAAGGCTTAAATTCAGTCAAAGAGTATAACACTAATCCTCGGCAAAATCCACTAGAATTTTAAATTTCGAGCTAAAAAATCTAAAAATCAAACCAAATAACAGAAATTCAAAACCTAGTCAAACAACAGAACTATTGGAATCTCAAGGCTTAAATTCAGTCAAAGAGTATAACACTAATCCTCGGCAAAATCCACTAGAATTTTAAATTTCGAGCTAAAAAATCTAAAAATCAAACCAAATAACAGAAATTCAAAACCTAGTCAAACAACAGAACTATTGGAATCTCAAGGCTTAAATTCAGTCAAAGAGTATAACACTAATCCTCGGCAAAATCCACTAGAATTTTAAATTTCGAGCTAAAAAATCTAAAAATCAAACCAAATAACAGAAATTCAAAACCTAGTCAAACAACAGAACTATTGGAATCTCAAGGCTTAAATTCAGTCAAAGAGTATAACACTAATCCTCGGCAAAATCCACTAGAATTTTAAATTTCGAGCTAAAAAATCTAAAAATCAAACAAAGCAAATTCTGAGCTAGAATTTAATAATAAAATTAAATTTTTTTTTTATTTATTATTTAAGATTCAATATTTACAACTATAATAATATATTTTCAATTCCTGATAACTAAATATTAATATACATTTAATTAATTATTCTAAAAAATAAACTAGATTTTTAAATCTAGTTTATCTTTTTAAGATTTTTAATCTAATTTTAAAATTAATTAAACATATAATATATTAATAATAATTTAACTAACAATTAATAAATTATTTTAATAACAATATCATATCTATTAACATCATAAATTAAATTTACAATATAATTTTAATTTATATACATATTTATATTATTTAATTAAAAATAATTAATATAATTAATATTAATTAAATATTAAAAATATTATTTAAATAAAAATATAAATTAAATAAATTTATATTAATTTATTAATTAAATTTTTTTTTTTTTTATTATATATATATATAAATATATAATATATTTGTATATAAATACATATATACATATTTTAAACATTTCATTTATACATTTATATATATATATTATAATCTAATCTTTCAATTAACTAATTACTAATTCTAGTTATCTATAAGTATATCTCAGATATGTATACATACAAATATAGTATACTCATATAAATAGGTATAAATAATCGATATATTTATGATCCCCCGAAGATCTATTTATAGATAAGTATACAATATAATAATTATTAGATGTATATATTATATATAAATATATAATATATTTATATATAATATATATATCTATTTTCTTCTATTTATATATATTTATATATATATTATATATTTATATATATACATACATGTATATACATACATGTATATACATGTATGTATATATTTAAATATAATATATATATATAGATGTATATATACATATTTTAAACATTTCATTTATACATTTATATATATATATTATAATCTAATCTTTCAATTAACTAATTACTAATTCTAGTTATCTATAAGTATATCTCAGATATGTATACATACAAATATAGTATACTCATATAAATAGGTATAAATAATCGATATATTTATGATCCCCCGAAGATCTATTTATAGATAAGTATACAATATAATAATTATTAGATATATATATTATATATAAATATATAATATATTTATATATAATATATATATCTATTTTCTTCTATTTATATATATTTATATATATATTATATATTTATATATATACATACATGTATATACATACATGTATATACATGTATGTATATATTTAAATATAATATATATATATAGATGTATATATACATATTTTAAACATTTCATTTATACATTTATATATATATATTATAATCTAATCTTTCAATTAACTAATTACTAATTCTAGTTATCTATAAGTATATCTCAGATATGTATACATACAAATATAGTATACTCATATAAATAGGTATAAATAATCGATATATTTATGATCCCCCGAAGATCTATTTATAGATAAGTATACAATATAATAATTATTAGATGTATATATTATATATAAATATATAATATATTTATATATAATATATATATCTATTTTCTTCTATTTATATATAT